CTAACGACCGAACTTTAGGACTGAACTTAGCGATGAGTTAACGACTGCTTCGTGAAACACCCCTCGAAAATCGCTAAGGATCCTCGTTAGCGAGATAGTTCAGTGTTTAGTTATTTTAACTAATGACTGCTTCGTGAAACGGGCCCCTGGATCGACCTAACTTCCTGGGTGTTCACGCTTAATTGCTCTTAGCTCAGGAGGCTTCAATGTCTGTCACGCCTACCGAATCAGCTAGGGGTAAGATAATTACTCCTAACAGTTTTACTAGGCGTGACAGGCGTTTAAGCCGGTTAGTTTGATAGCAATTTAGTGAGACTCCCCAGGGAGATGGATTGATCCGAGTATCTCTGGAAATGGTCCGTTACATTTTTCACTCAGTTGAGTCTGGCAATGTTGAGACCAAAATGCTGAGGCGAAAATTGATAATGAACTGCAAACATGCTACTGTACATGTACATGGATGTCAAGCAGGTATCTATACACTTACAAGTTTGACTCAGCTGAGGCTGACTGAGAAAGACGCACGCCATCAAGGCCAGGGCAAAGCTCGGACAGAACAACAATCCCATCATTGGTTGGTTGATGTTAGATACAGTACTCTTTTATAGCACTCCTATTCTGGAATAAAATAAGATATTCAGAAGAACAAAATGGTGAAATTCCAACATCGTCATACGTTTGACAATCTTAAAACAAAATTGGGCTTACTTTCTGTGATGAGTCAACCCTTTCGCAGTTGCCTGTGCGTGTGCGTGATTCATCATTTTTACAGTCTCTCCAAAGTAATATACCATGGTAGCAGGTTTGGGTGCTGGTTAGGGGAACAACTCATTCAACATGGCAGTTAATAAAAGATGGATTCAGTCGATAACAGTGACAGAAAAGATAGAAGTCTATGTCTGCCAGGGGATTGCAGGGCTTTTCAGAAACCTATTTTTCTGGAAATGTTCAAGCGAATAATATTTGTATATAGAATACCATCTCATCAAAAAAGAACAATTAAACCTGGCCGCTTAAAAAGAAAAAGGATTTGTTGTTATTGTTATTAAGAACCAAATATTATTATGGTCCACGTATGAGGAATCTGAAGTTTTGCAAAACACCACTTCTGTGACTAAATTCTCTAAGAATTGGTCTGTAATTATGTACTTGGCTTCAAGTTTCAGAAATAAGGCTTCAAAATCTACCAGTTTTCAGAATTTTCAACTCTCCCGCTTTAAAAAAAATGTCCAAAAGTCAGGTTTTGCTTGTGCCTATAGCAATAAGCATCAGTGACAGGAAATAAAGGCAATTTTGGTGCTGTGGACCTGGATCTGCTACAGAACAAAAAATAATAAATCCACAACTGATAGGAGAACCCATCAAGTCCCGATCGTGCTCATCTTTTAAGGTTTTTAAAATACCCGAATAATGTTAAAAACCAACTTTGCAAGTCAATCGCAGGTTCTGTAAATGTCCGCCATTTTTCGTAGCAGAAACGCGTTTAATCCATTTGTCTCAGATAAGATACCTGCAGGATCGACGAGCGTTCATTAGCACGCCAGTAGAATGTCAAATCTATTTGCTTGATAGTCTGTAGCGATAAATGTATAATGACATCACTGAAATACAATTTAGGACCATTGGATTCCTGGCCAAACATGAACAACACATATTTGAGAAGCATTACTCTCAACCAGAACCACCGAGAGGTATTTCACTGTTTCTTTAGCAACAAACGGTGTGTGCATGGGAATTGCACCGATCAAATTATTTCACAGTTAACATAAAACTTACCTCGTTTTTCCTCGTTGAAATCAGTTCAGGAAATGAAATGTCTCCCCATCTACTGGTTATAATATACTGTCAGAACCGGTACATCAGTGCATCTCGTGAAAAACATGGCACACGAGAAGCCATCCAATCACGAAAGTGCTTATTTTATTATCGATACCCCACCCACCGGTTTCATTGCATGAGCAGGGGGTATTCCCCTGAAGATGCGATGAAGTCGGGGCAAAATAACTGCTGTTCTTTATTTCTTTTTTATCATATATATATTGAAAGTAAAAGTTTTTCCTGTGCGAGTATATATATATATATATATATATATATATATATATATATATATATATATATATATATATATATATATATTGCTTAGTTAAATTAATTCTATGATATTCTTTCAGTGGCAGCTATCCAACTGCCAGTTTTCTCCCCCATCTCTCTCTTTCTACCTCAACTCTATTGGCCTCGTATGTGTGTGTGCGTGTGCGTGTGATGGGATAACAGCCAAAACATACTGTACAAAAATTCAACCGAAAAAGGTCTCTCACCCCCGTGAACTATTTAATTTGCATCACCTACTTTATTTCAGTGCCTCTTTGATACAGGACGACGGAATTAAAAATAATGGAAAACCATATGACGCTTTGGTTGATATGAAATTGCTTACAGTATATGATTATATGATAAGCGATGCTTGTTAAGTCGCATTATTTATTCTGAATGCGAATTTGGCCTTTGTCATCAAACACGATTTAGTCCAAGAAAATAAATCCTTCTATCCGTGGCATCGGTCTAGCTTTCCTCTCTCTCTCTCTCTCTCTCTCTCTGTGTTACTGTGTGTGCCTAAACAGGTAGGTGAGGGCGAGAAAATGTTGGAATTATAGCCCAAATATTAGTAGGCTTCTCACACCAGCGAGATTTTTTTTGCATCACCCAGTTTATTTCAGTGATGCTGTGATACGGGACGTCCTAGTAAACATGACGGAAACCCGTATGACGCATTGGATGATATGACATTACTACCAGTATATGACTATATGGAAAGCGATGCTTGCATATCCATACAGTTGGAATAGGAAAAGCATGCGTATCATATCGTTTCACACCGTCTTGGCTGATCTACATTATAGTTGTTAAATACAATCCGAGCTTTCGGCCCAGGGTATCACGATTTTGTAATCACGATAGTGCTTATTTGACTATAGGATGCCCAGTTTATTATCACACCCCATTTGTCGGTCTTTCATTGGCTTCTTTCGTTCAGCATGAAGCTTGTATTTTTATATTTGATCTAGAAAATTCGAGTCGAAATTCGGGTCGAATTGACCCAGTTCTTACGAAAAATTTGATGAAATTCAGTCTCTCTCTCTCTCTCTTTCTCTCGTGTTTGTGTCTGTGCGCCACATAAACTGCTGGATTGGGACAAGATAGTGAGAGATAGTCAAACGTATTCAACCAGAGTTCATTACGGTCTTTAACAGCATTGCAATATTATATTTGCATTGCTCAGTTAAATGAAATATCTGATATCCTTCTTTCCGTGACAGCAATGTACATGTAGCTGTCATTTTTCTCCCTCCCTTTCTCCCTCTCTCGCGTGTGCGTGTGTGTGAAAAAGACAAAGTGACGGAAAAACAGCCAAAACAAACCAAACATTCAACCAATGAAAGCATCTTACACCAGCTATTTTGCCTGCATCACCCAGATAATTCCAGTGCAAATTTGAAACAGGACGTGAAAATTAAATATACAGGAAACCCGTATGACCCTTCCATTATATGACCAGTATATGACTACATGGAAAGCGATGCTTGATAAGTGGATTTGTTTATTATGGACTTTGTCATCAGACATGATTAAGTTTGAGCAAATGAATCTTAATCAAATCATTCCATCAGTGGTATCGGTCTAGCTTCTCTCTCTCTCCCTCTCTCTCTCTCTAACAGCTAGGTGTGGGCGAGAAAGTGTTGGAGTATATAAACAACCAAATTATCCAACAAAAGCTATGAGACCAGTAAGCTATTTCATAAATGTATTCAAATGTGAATCTCAGCCCTACTTTGATACAAGACGTACATGAAGGGGTTAAACATAATGAAAACCCTATGACGCGTTGGGTAATATGACATTTCTTCCAGTATATGACTAACAAAAAGCGGTGTTAGTTTGCAGCCTGTGATTTACCATTCTGTTTGGCGACCATGTCTTTTTACGAACCAAATCAAAACAATACATTCTCTTTCACATTTGATCAATGACAAAATTACAGTATCGACAGATGCAGTAACGAAAGATACAAATCATCGGAATGAAGACGTGGTTTTATTTCTTGACAATTGCTGAGATTTAACCAAAATAATTTTTGTTTTATGTACCGTTGTCCAGATAACTTTGTCCATTTGTAGGTGTGCATGTATTCAGCTCGTAACATGTATGTTTTATGTTCATTCGTTTTAGTAACGTACATCCCTATCTATACCAATTAAGTGAAATGGTTATTATCTTTAATTATGCCAAAACAGTCTAAATAATATATAAGTGGAATAATACATCATTTTTGGTTTCACTTTTGTAGTGCAGTTGTAAAACAAATTAGTCGGTAAAACCTTCCTCCTTACATAAAATGAATACTTATCTTTTTTTAAAAGTTATATGTCGATATTGAAGGGCATTTAGTCGAAAATAGAAGAATCACCAATGAGATATTTCTTATAACGTTTTGTAAAATTATAATTTGTTAAGATGGTTTGGTTTGTTTGTCATCCGTTGCCAGAGTTGATCCGAACATGCATAAATATTTTTCCTGACACATAAACTACCTCCAGAACTACACAAAAGTAGTAGCTTTTTTGACGAAGCATGTTCTGATACCCATAAAATAGACCAATAATTACAGCTGGTCATGAATCTTTGTGGCCAACGCGTGAGTTTGGTAATGTGGTATTTTGTATTGAAAATATATAAAAAAAACATGAAAATAATGATTTAACTGTAAGACGTTGTCGATGTCCATTGCTGTTCGTACTTCACCTAAGTACGACAAGGCTTTTTTATGTTTAGAATCATAAATATCAAAAGAAATGTGGAGCAGGAAATGGTGAAGCAGTAAAATAACCAAACGCAATGCCCAAATTAATTTATTTTCAATTGATATACTTAATTCATATAAAATGTCCAATGAATGTCCAAATGAATATTTATTTTAAATTTGGTTCTTCAATTAATAAAATAGCTATGTATCCTGTCCTGATTTTTTGGTTGTTATTTCTTTTTCCCGGTGTTTATTTCGTCGATTCTGAAAGCAAAAGAAATATATTTAATGGACACCTTGACCCGTTTTATTATTTATTTATTTATTTATTTTATTTTTTATCAGAGCACATTGTGCATTCAGTTATAAACAAACACATTTATTCAGTCATAAATGAAAATTATCAAACAGAAGCCGAGAAAACGTTCACACTGTTAGATTTCGGCCAACCTGGACTTAGGCCTTTATCAGAATGACGTAAGTAGATGTTGATACTCAGTGTCCAATAGGTGGTATAGCGGCCACGACCATCTTATAAATGTAAGGTAGATCGACCTCCCCGACCCTATTAATGGGTGGCTGGTGACGGTTGATGTTGATAGCCTCTTGTATCTTACGTAGGATATCAGATGACTTGGATCCAAGGATCTTGGTTGAATTCCAGTCAGTACTGTGGTCGGTGTTTATTACATGTTTAGAAATGGCAGAGCTGGTATTGTCTATATACATTCACTGGTTTCCTGTGTTCACTAACCCTGGTCTTATAATGTCTACCTGTCTGACCAAAGTAAAAAAGAATTGCAGTTACGGCAGTTAATGTCACATATAGTCCCACCACGGTTAGCTAACAGTAAGACATTTTTCTCGGCTTGTGTTTGATAATGTTTATTTATGATCCAGCTACCAAGCTGATAAGCATTTTTTGCAAATTTATTAAGTGTTGATATTAAAAAAATATATATATTTTTAATAAAAATAGTTTTGATAAAAACGCAGAATAGCAAAACTATATGAACAGACCTGAATAAACAGGCCTGTATATATATATATATATATATATATATATATATATATATATATATATATATATATATAGTAAATGTCTCAATGTACTATGAATAGCCCNCCAGCTACCAAGCTGATAAGCATTTTTTGCAAATTTATTAAGTGTTGATATTAAAAAAATATATATATTTTTAATAAAAATAGTTTTGATAAAAACGCAGAATAGCAAAACTATATGAACAGACCTGAATAAACAGGCCTGTATATATATATATATATATATATATATATATATATATATATATATATATATATATATAGTAAATGTCTCAATGTACTATGAATAGCCCTTTACTCAAATTTTTCCTTAGATTTCATTGTTGTAGACATTGCCTGACGTCAAATTGCTTAAGATATAATTTATAAACACAAATTTAAATTATTATTACAGGTGGCTAGAGTGTCGTTAGAGTGTCGTTATTTCTTGCTTAAACTCTTTAATTCGCCCATGTCTGTTTTTTCCTCACTCTGAATACAGTTTGGGGTAGGACTGTCTTATCCAATAAAGACACTGAATAGATAAGGGGGAATTATTCAAGTGAGTCAGCCATATTTGACCCGAGAACTAGTTAGTCCACTGTTCCGAATGCGACCTAGGACCTACCGGTGCAGTTGAATCCATCCCCGCTGTAACCCTCGTTGCAAATACAATGTTGGTAATATAATGAATTGCAGTTGTCATTGTTCTCGGGCAATGTACGATTACGCAGCGTGTCAGCGCATTGGGCGTTTTCCCCACATTGTGCTGAAAACAAAATTTAAAAAACGTACGTTGGCACTCTCCCGCGACTGAATACCTGAATATTTTAAATCACCTTAATGGGCGTTATTTTATGACGTGTTTTCATAAGTTCCACCTAATCATCTGAATATGTTAGTTGTATTATCATAAACAGAGATCTACAGCCATAGGACACGTTTTCGTAACAAAATCATTTGAATATGGTTTTATAGTTTTTAAAGAGAGATCTAGAGCCATATGACTTGATATCAGTCTGTAGAAGGTACTATTACTGTACTTGCTACATGTACATATTTTCTGGCAGCAATTTTTGCGCTGCTAAATTTGCTTTGTAATTTCTTTTGCTGCATGCTTCACAACTTAGATCTATCAGCTGCTATATGTTAATACTGAGATACACAAAGTATGCAGTATTAGAAAGGCACGGCTTACCTTTTTGACACAATGTTCCGAAATAACCATCGGGACAAATACACCACGATCGCAAAGTTATAGTATGAACTCCACACGTTCCACCATTCAAGCAGCCATTATTGCGGCACGGACCTGAAATGAGGACACTGCAAGAATTATAAAATGCTCTCTCACCGTTAAGTTATTTCAATTTTTATAACTTAAGCATTTACTTAAAGGTACATACGAACCGAGCATCGGTGGAGCGTGGATTCCCAGTAATACATGTAAACCACTTCTACTAGATTCTTATATGACTCAAATAAATTCGACATGCTAAGGGATAAACTGAATAGATCACTCGAACAGCCATAAAAGACCTTTAGACTGCTNACTTTCAGTAATAAGAAGAAAATTAACATAAATCTATCGTCATCTTGCATTGGCTGCCATTTTGGCAATTTAACTATGATAATTTTTTCAAATAATTGTATTGATAACTGAGGTCCAAGTCTAATTTTTTAAAAAAAGTTTACAATACAGCGAGTTCATATATTTGAAATACATGGCAATTAAAAGGTGTCAGAAATTATAATTTTAAAACCCCTGTGTTACTGTGGCAACAGCTGAATCTGTCACACCTTTCACCTATTACATGGCAAACAAGCAGAATATTTGAACTTAGGGCTCAAGCTATCAGAAAATTACAGTAAATAAAAATTGCTAATAGGGCTGAGCTAGCTTGAGTTTATTAAATTTTATTTTGTATTGGAATAATGTATCATATCATTTCATGTGAAAGCAAATTGGCGGCCATTTTGAATTTCGAAAGTCATAATTCAATCTGAATTAACACAGTTTATAGAAAAGGGTCCTAGGTCCATATTCAGTACACCTAAAAGTAATAAAGAATGTAATTTGGGATGATTAATGTGGCATCTTTCCAGTTAGGACAGCCGTATGTAAAAGACATGTTTTGTGGCAGCCACCTTGGATTTCAGGATTTTACGTCATAATTAAAAGGTTACATCTTCAACAAGCACTTTAGGCAGACAGCAGAGGCTTTTTACCATTATGGAACATCAAAACACATGCCAAATTGCAATTTCTTAATAATTAAATAAAAACTCAAATATAAAAAAATTCCCAAAATTATTAAAAAATGAGCAATAATTGGCAGCCATCTTGAATTTGCTGCCATCTTGGGACATTTTGATGATTGTGAAGTATAGCACACTTCTTAATTTACACATCTGGTATAATTGTGAATTCCATGATTTTAAATGCATTTGTAATATTTAATTTTTATTTTTGGTCTCAAAATTATCAATTTTCAACCCCAGACATTACCATGGCAACAGCTCTGTTACTCAGACCCACCACCTGTTAAATTTCAAACAAGCAGAATATAAAAGCTTAGGGCCTTACCTACCAGAAAATAATAGAAAACAAAAATCAATAATGGGACTAAGTTGGTGGGAGATAATTAAAATTAATATTCTGTTGGAAGAATATATTATATCAATTTTAGCCAGTGTGTATAAGCATATTGGCGGCCATTTTGATTTTTGAAAGTCTTAATGTAATCAGAATTAATGCAAATTGTTTTAAAAAGTCCTAAGTTCAAATTCAGTTTATTAAAAGTAATAAAGAATGACACTTTGATGATAAATCTGGCATCTTTCCAGTTGGGACAGCAGACTTATATTTTGGCCACCATTTTGTATTTCAGGATTTTACAACAAAATTAAAAGGTTTTATCTAAAATAAATACTGTAGGTAGCAAGTAGAGACTGTATGCTATTCCGGCGCATAAAAACATATCCCACATTCTTATTCCTTAATAATTGAATAAAGACTCAAATATGAAAAATAATTGAAATTACCAAAAAATTAGCAAAAATTGGCCGCCATCTTGAATTTACAGCCATCTTGGAATATTTTGAGGATCATAAAGTATAGTGCAGCTCTTGAACTATACATCTGAAAGGATTTTGAATTCCATTCACTTAACACATTTGAATAATTTAATATTTTTTTGGTCTCAGAAATTTCAATTTTTAATCTCAGACGTTACCATGGCAACGGCTGTAGCACACACACCCACCACCAGTTTAATGGCAAACAAGCGGAAAATCAAAGCTTAGGACCTAAGCTATCAGAAAAACATAGTGAACGAAAATCACTAAGGGGGGGGAGGGGGGTCTACATTGGCCCATAGACTATAAATGTAAGGTAGATCGACCTCCCCGACCCTATTCATGGGTGGCTGGTGACGGCTGATGTTGATAGCCTCTTGTATCTTATGTAGGATATCAGACGAGTCGGATTCAAGGATCTTGGTTGAATTCCAGTCAGTACTGTGGTCGGTGTTTATTACATGCTTAGAAATGGCAGAGCTTGTCTTGTCTATATACATTCACTGGTTTCCTGTGTTCACTAACCCTGGTCTTATAATGTCTACCTGTCTCAATAAGTAAAAAAGAATTGCAGTCACGGCAGTTAATCTCACATATAGTCCCACCACGGTAAGCTAACAGTAAGACATTTTTCTCGGCTTGTGTTTGATAATGTTTATTTATGATCCAGCTACCAAGCTGATAAGCATTTTTTGCAAATTTATTAAGTGTTGATATTAAAAATATATATATATTTTTAATAAAAATAGTTTTGATAAAAACGCAGAATAGCAAAACTATATGAACAGACCTGTATAAACAGGCCTGTATATATATATATATATATATATATATATATATATATAGTAAATGTCTCAATGTACTATGAATAGCCCTTTACTCAAATTTTTCCTTACATTTCATTGTTGTAGACATTGCCTGACGTCAAATTGCTTAAGATATAATTTATAAACACAAATTTAAATTATTATTATTATTATTACAGGTGGCTAGAGTGTCGTTATTTCTTGCTTAAACTCTTTAATTCGCCCATGTCTGTTTTTTCCTCACTCTGAATACAGTTTGGGGTAGGACTGTCTTATCCAATAATAGACACTGAATAGATTAGGGGGAATTATTCAAGTGAGTCAGCCATATTTGACCCGAGAACTAGTTAGTCCACTGTTCCGAATGCGACCTAGGACCTACCGGTGCAGTTGAATCCATCCCCGCTGTAACCCTCGTTGCAAATACAATGTTGGTAATATAATGAATTGCAGTTGTCATTGTTCTCGGGCAATGTACGATTACGCAGCGTGTCAGCGCATTGGGCGTTTTCCCCACATTGTGCTGAAAACAAAATTTAAAAAACGTACGTTGGCACTCGCCCGCGACTGAATACCTGAATATTTTAAATCACCTTAATGGGCGTTATTTTATGACGTGTTTTCATAAGTTCCACCTAATCATCTGAATATGTTAGTTGTATTATCATAAACAGAGATCTACAGCCATAGGACACGTTTTCGTAACAAAATCATTTGAATATGGTTTTATAGTTTTTAAAGAGAGATCTAGAGCCATATGACTTGATATCAGTCTGTAGAAGGTACTATTACTGTACTTGCTACATCATATTTTCTGGCAGCAATTTTTGCGCTGCTAAATTTGCTTTGTAATTTTTTTTGCTGCATGCTTCACAACTTAGATCTATCAGCTGCTATATGTTAATACTGAGATACACAAAGTATGCAGTATTAGAAAGGCACGGCTTACCTTTTTGACACAATGTTCCGAAATAACCCTCGGGACAAATACACCACGATCGCAAAGTTATAGTATGAACTCCACACGTTCCACCATTCAAGCAGCCATTATTGCGACACGGACCTGAAATGAGGACACTGCAAGAATTATAAAATGCTCTCTCACCGTTAAATTATTTCAATTCTTATAACTTAAGCATTTACTTAAGCAGGGTAACTAATATCAATGGAATTAATTGCGTACACCTGTCACTTTTTGCGTACTTTCCTAGGCCATTTTTCTTACTCTTCAGATGTAAAATTACTTAAACTAAATGTTGACAATAGTGTGTTATATTAATTAATACTGGACCACCCCCCGCCATCAAGCGATAATGGAATACTGTTCATTTCACAGTAAAAACCTATAAAATAAATAATTAAGGAAATGAATAACTCATTTAATTAACATATTTAGGAAGACACACCACCATAGATTTAATTATATAAAATGAAGCATATCTGGTGGTATCAGTTCTTGCTATAGTAAACATGTTTTATGAGCTTGTGCTATACATAACTATTTCATATTATCCAGAAAAGTCGATAGTAAGCGTAACGAGGACATTGCTTACGCAATTCGCATCTCTCTCCGAAAAAGTCTAAGAAGCAAATACAGTGGATGCCAGACGATTCATCAATATGATCTGCGCAAAGCCCATCATTATGGCAACTGTCAGGCTCACATTCGTCTGAAAATAGATGTCAAGCCAATTTAAATGTTAGAGATGTTTAATCATTTCATTCATATAGTTAAATTTTAAAATCGGCTAAAACTCTGGGGTCTATAAATTTATCCCCAAAACTGCCTGTTTAAAGGACTCCTGTACTTTCATCATGTCAAATTTCAATTTTCGGAATTGTTCAATAATCCAGTAAACTACAAAACTTACTGGAGCAGCTCAATCCGTCCCCAAGGTAACCCTTTTCGCAAACACAATATTGGTAAGATGCTGAATCGCAGCTGTCATTGTTCTCTGGCAATGGCTTGTTTAGCGGTATGTAAACGCACTGGGCGTTTTCCCCACACGTTGCTATCAACAAGTAAAAAGATATAAGCTGGCATTCGCCCGTGACAGAATACTTGACCTTTTTAAACCGCCTTAACGGGTGTTACAATAGGACGTGTTTTATAAATTCCACCTAATCACTTGAATATGTTAGTTGTATTTTTAGTCAACAAACAGAGATCTAGTGTCATATGGCTTGATCTCAGGCTATAGAAGTTACTATTGCATATGTTCTGGTGTCAATATATGCGATGGTAAATTCTCTTTGTATTTTCTTTTGCTGCTTCAAATTACACATGGAATGCAATATAAGAAGGGTACGGCCTACCTTTATCGCAAAATTGTCCGTGATACCCCTCCGGACAAATGCACCACGAAAGCAAATTTGTAGTATTAACTGCACACTTTGCACCATTCCAGCAGTAATTAAGGCGGCACTGGCCTGAAATGAAATATTGCAAGGGTTATAAACTGCCACGCGTGCTCTTTCATTTGAGATATTTCAATTCTTATGATTTAAGCAGTTACTAAGACATGGTAACTGATATCTATGGAATTCACTTCGCACAGAATTCCACCTGACTTTTTTGCATACTTCTGCTCAGCCATTTTTCTTGTATTTCATAGTAAAAAGCATTTAAACTAGATGCCGTCAATAGTTCGTATACATGGGACCACGCCGCGCCATCAAGCGATGATGACATACTGTTCGTTTCGCAAAAAAAAAAAAAAAAAAAAAAATGAGAATAAATAAATTAAAACCCCTACATACAGAGGAAGACACGTTGCTAATGGATAAATTGCATAAAATGAAGCATATCTGCTGGTATCAATTATTGCAATATTAATCTTGCTTTCTAACATGTTTTTAACATGTTGTATAACTATTTCCTGTTATCCACAAAGGACGAATTTGTTATGGGGTCACTGCTTACGCAAGTCGCATCTTTTTCCAAAAAAGGCACCAGGGCAAATGCACTGAAAGCCAGAAGGATCCTCGACACTTTCTAAGCAAACTCCACCATTATAGCAACTGTCAGGCTGGCATCCGTCTGAATATAGATATTGCAAAGCAATTTAAATGTCAATCATGCTTTTTCATTTTACATATATATATAGTTGGAACTTTTCAAAAAAAAAAAAAATTAGAATTGATTGGCCATGCAAATCTTATCATTTTCAAAATGTCACGCTTTGTGCGCCATGTCTTAATGATTTTAAAACGTCCACGCATAGTTCATGTTCTGGTACAGGAGCTAGGTCACGTGTTTATTCCCCTGGTCTGGTCGAACCAAATACAATTTAAATATGCACGTGTTGTTACCTCGCTTAACACTCAGCAAATGGAGGTTGAAGTAAGAAAAGACCTGGCCATATGTTAGTGCTGGTTATTGTGAATGCTCATTACGAGGGCCACATATGCCACAGCTTGGATTGCATTTATTGCAGGGAGATGGGAATGATTCAGAATTGAAAAATTCCATAAAAGAGAAGGGTTTAAAAAACAAAGAGAAATCCCCGTAAATGTATTCAATTGTGTACACAATGCCTTTTTGTGGCCTATTATATATTTTTTTCATTAAATAAAAATTAGAAAAACTGGTTTACCACACTTAAGTATACATATAGGAAGTTCTAACAACCATACTTGGTTAAAGGCTACTGAAAGTGAAAAAAAGTAACGATTCTCTTACGTAGTCTTTGCTGTCATAAAAACTACATTTTAATTTTGCCACAGAATGTAATAAAAATATTCCCAAAAGCAGTGATTTTAGCCATAATTTTGATTGGACAAAGTGAATTATATAGAACATCACATAGCACAGGACCCTTAATGTAACACGCTGCATGTGTACATCACGCAGTGAAAGGACAGTGCGTTCGTACCCCCTCCCAACTACGGGCTTGTTATCCAATCGTACTAAAACTCAATCGGACCCGGAAAATACAAATGTCCATGAATTCACGTAACTTTTAAGGCCTTAAGTCCAGGAAAAAATAACGGAAATAACATGGACAGAAGGTATAAGCTGAGACAAAATGACCTTCGGATTTCGTCATTAACATGCTGAGATTAGAATTGATACCAGATCTCATAACTGCAGACAGTACATGTACTGTATTGTACATGAACACGAATGTCGAGTTGGTCTCTATACACTTACTGGTGCTTGTTTGGCTCAGCTTAGTTTTACTGAGAAAAACGCACGTCATCAAGGCAAGAACAAGGCTTGGGCAGAACAACAATCCCATTACTGATTGGTTAATATTATATACAGTACTCTTTTATAGCACTTCTAGGCTGGAATAAAATAAAACATTCAGAAGAACAAAGTATTAAAGTATTAAAATATCAACATCATCATACATATATGAAAATCTTTAGACTAAATTGGTCTTGACAAATTGCGACCGCACGCTCATAGCAATATCATCATTTGTTTCAAGGTCATAATTTTCGAGGAGTCATTCCCGCAGCAGTTGTTTAAGAGAACGCATGATTTAGTGTCTTCAATCAAGAAGTTGTAAAGAAACTTTGTATTGTGTTTTGTTTGCTGGAAATTTCGCGTATATAATACTTTGTATATGGAATATTATTTCCTCGAAGACCAAAAATGCACTGATGCACATTTTGTAAAGTCATGTTTTATCATGTTATACATGTTTTCAACATTAAACATTTCAAATGCTATTTTAGACTATTTCTCTGTGCAGTATAATGATACTAATCATAAATTTTAACGTTTCACTTTCTACACAGAATTGTAGCTTAAAGGGATAATAACTCTTTGTATGAGATCTATATTTCACAATAAAAACATTGTGAATAACTCATGGAAATATAATGTATTCTGTTTTACCACAAAAACAGCAGTTATAGGTATTATTCTGATATCTGAGCTTGTCTTTAGACCACGTGATCTCCATTGATGGCTATACTCTGTTAAAATCTCTTGACAGATTTTAACAAAAAAAAAATCAAACTTTTTAGTAGAAAAAACCAGGGACTAACTTTGAATGTAAAAATGGATGCATTAACCATTGGTGAGTATGGGAAAATTGTTGTTTACTCCAGGAAAATTAATTTTAAAATTATGAAAATATAACATGCAATAAAATACGTAATTCATCCTTTTAAGAAATCTGTATGAAATATTTGATGTTATTTTGGTCGAAGCGCTACGAATATAGTAGGCTTGTTAAGGACCAAAAAATGGCCAAACGCTGCATTTTGTAGTACAAATGTCTAACTTGGCATAAATGTTCCTTGGGCCAAAAGAAAATTTTTTATCCAAAGAGACGCCCTCTATCGATACATTAATTAGCATAAATTATGCAAATTATGTGCCAAAATATATAATATTTCATATTTCCATTAATTTTTGGCCTAGAAACATGTATAGATTATCAATCCTGACTAAATTAGGAACAAGGAACCCAATTTTGATCATTTGGAAGCAATTGGTGGCCATTTTGTGCCTTAAATCCAAGATGGCCGCCACCCACCATTTTGAAAGTAGACATAATTTTGCTATTTTATGTTGAATTTTGAAGCGTTTGGTCTAACTATACTTGATATATATATCGATTCTTACTATTTTGGGGGTGCAAAAGTCATTTTTGATATTGTTATGGTGATAGTAGGTGATTTGAAGGAACAAAGAGGGTGTTTTAAGTGCCTACCAAGATATGTGTGAACGCTGCAAAACCATGGATATTGATAACCCGCATTCAAATATATCTCAATGCAATTTTTTGTTATATACCATCGCTATTGGACTATATTATGAGCAAAAAAACACATTTTACCATTATGGTGCCCATTGGTGGCTGTTTTATCCCTCAAATCCAAGATGGCCGCCAAAAACCATTTTGAAATTGGGCATAATTCGCTATTTTGAAACTATATGTATTACATCTTTGTAAATGAGTAATACGTCGTTTTATATTATTTTCTGGTGCAGAATACATTATCTGTTTCATAAAATTTGTGCCTCAAATCCAAGATGACCCTCAAATTTTCAAATCATTTTCAAATTGAGCATTATTCACCATTTTGAAACTATCACACCTTCATAAGCGTCATACGTCATTTTTGATTATTTCCTGGTGCAGAATGCATTTTCGGTTTCATAAAATATAAATAGAAACTTTTATAAGCCTCCAAATAAATATAGGATTCAGTTGCCACATGGGCCTGCAGTTTATATGTACAATTAGTAATCCAATTAGTGCAAAACTAAGTGGTTTTCTGTATGTTTCTGCATACAGAACTCGTGCACTTATTACTGGCCCGGGCTTTCAGTCGCCCACACCCTTTATGTGATATGTTGGTATACAGGTCAGCAGGTTTTGTTTGCAGGTTGTAGGTTTGACCCGCCAATGCATGTTACTGGGGAGGTATGCTCACTCATTGATATATATAAACAGTCTTAATAAACAGTGCCTACTATCTCCCCGCTTGGGACTGCTTTTTTTCCTAATGTGCCAAGGAGTCAAAAATTCCTTAATATGGGGTCATAGTGACTCCTTTGTAGAATAAATCAAGGGATGAAGGGATGTGTGAATCGAGGCAATTGGGGAGGTTTTTTTTTAGACGCCACTGCTGGACTCCCGGTATGGAGTCACTTGGACGATTTCAATCTCAGTGCAAGGCACCACCATCAAGTTGCAGG